TTGGGGAGGTTGAGGGGTGCGGCGTTATTGAAGGACGTGTGTCTCTAGAGGCAGTCTTTGAGAGCTTAAAGACATGTACCATTTCTAGTTTGCTCTCTCTGCTTCCTGCTTGTGGTTTAAGATGCGAGACCTCAGTTTCTGCTCTAGCTACCATGCCTGCCTGCTGCCTCTACTCTGCCATCATGGACTCTGACCCTCCGGAACTATAAGCCCAAATTAACGCTTCTAAAAGTTGCCTTGTTCATGGTGTTTTATGACAGTAATAAAAAAATAATACAAGTGGGGTTACAGGTGTGTGCTGCCACACCCAGCTTTTTGGTGTGGATTCTGGAGATATGCACTCAGTTCCTCATGCTTTTGTCGCAAACACTTTACCCAATGAATCATCTCCCTAGTCCTCAAGAATTTTTTTTAAATATACAAAAATCTACAATTCTTGGTCTATCATTGCCTAAGAACAAAATTTATAAATAGAAGAACTCTAAAAGTCTATAGAATTAGGCCTTTAAAACAAATCTAGTTATTCAGATTTCATTGAGAAAATTACATTTGATGAACTAACTTCTTTGTTCCTGTTATACAGAAATATGTTATGGAAAATAATATTTGTTTACCTATGTAAAGACGTGTTGCCTTTATTTATTCTGCATTTGTTTAACTATGTAACATCTTTGGCACCCAGTTGGTCTAATAAAAAGCTGAACAGCCAATAGCTAGTCAGAGGAGAGATAGGCAGGGCTGACAGGCACAGAGAAAAGGGGAGCCAGGCAGCCAGCTGGGGACCAGCCCACCATGGGCCAGCCAGCTGAGGACTAGCTGGCCAGACACAGAGGAAGCAGCAAAGCAGGATAGACAGTATGTAGATGAAGTAAATGAGCCTCGGGCAGTACGTAGATTAATAGAAATGGATTAAGTTTAAAAAAAAAAAAAACCTAGCTAGAAACAAACCTAAACTAAGGCTGAGCATTCATAATTAATAAGTCATTATGTCATGATTTGGGGGCTGGAGGTCCAAGAAAGCTTGCTACAGTAATATTTATACTGAACATTTAGAATGTGCTATAAGCAGTTTAAGAACAATCATTATCCTAATATCAGCAACATTCACAAATAGTACTTTCAGCCTTGGGACTGAGTCACTTGGACACAATATTTGAATTCCATTTATGTCTTTTCCACATTGTCTTTTAAGGAGAATGCTAAATTGAAATTTTGGGTTGTATGCACTAAATTGAAAAGATTAGTTTAATTTCAGAATTAAGCTAATCAGAGCACAAGGACATCCTCTTCTCTGATATTCTTATTTTACCAACAAGGACCTTGGTAAGAGGAAAGAGACTCTTTCCTGCTCACAGTCACAAGACGAGCTACCGACGAAGGTGAGACCAGAGCCCAGGTTCCAGGAGTGTGTCCCTGGTGTTGAGGTGACCTTGAAGAACTGGTAACCTTTCAGCAGCATAGGTGATGGGGGTGCAGAGAGGCTGGGAGCACTCCAGGGAAAGGGGTCAACAGGAGTGATGTCACAGAGCCCGGCTGTGAAACAGAATGATAATTATGTTCAGTGTGTGTCCCTGAGTGAGGAGGCTGGAAAGAAAAAGATGAGGTGTCACTGTGGGTGATGATAATCCTGATGTCTCTTGGAACACAAACGATCAAAACTGAAGTGTGGGGGTTTTTGTTTTGTTTTTAGCTTTGATTTTACAATCTGTGGGGCTGTTCCATACAAGTATCTTCTAGAACACTATGGCAATCGTGAGTAGAAATTTATAGCTTATTACCTAATACTCAGGAGTTAAATGCTCTTTGCAAAGCTAGAGACTTGAACTGATGCCCAAAATAGGAATTCTGTGCATTAGGATTCTTAAAAGTGTGAGGTCTAGAGTCAGAACCCTTGAGTTCAAATCTTTGAATCTCCATGTAGAAACTATACAACCTGGGAAACATATACTAAAGTTTATGGTTTATTATGTGACAGGTACTTTTCTAATATATAGACAATGCATGACTCAATACTTCAACTCATTTTCTTCTCATTTATTTATTTTTAAAATTATGTCTATGTGTATGTCTGTCTGTGTGTGGGTACCTGAGGAGGTCAGAAGAGGGTAGAGTTACAGGCGGTGGTAAGCCACCCGACATGGGTCCTGAGAACTGATGTAGGATCAGTACATGCTCTTAACCACTGAGCCATTTCTCTAGTCTCCAACTCCTATGGTTTTTACTCTCGTGGTGCAAACGTGACTATCATTCTATACAAACCGTACTTCAAATTTTGACTTTTGATCTTTGCCTAGGCTAGCAATGTTGGACAGTAACACTGAGCCCATGGCACTTTGAACTTGTGATAGTTTCTACTTCCCATGAGTCTTTCTGGATATAATCCCATTTTCAGTAGAGAGATCTGTATCATATACTTAAACCAACAATCCAATGAAATACATTGATTGTATTGTTATTACAATTTCCAGTCCCCTTGCCCTAAAAAAAACTGGAAAGACAGAAGAGAGAGGTGTTTCAGTAGAGAGGGTGGGAAATGCAGTTTCCAACTAGATTTTCTGTTCCTTGGTTTATAACACAATCCCAACTCCTTGGTATCTAGCTAGCTTCCTTCTCTGCTGTAATACTATGATAGATTGAATTATTGTTCAAAAATATTCACCTTCTGAGGAGGAATCTCCTTCCCCCTCCTGACCTTGGGCTCAGCCATGTCAATTGCATAGGCCAAGGACAGCAGAAGTAACAAACAGAACATGGACTGTTCTGCAGTTGGGCATGGCTTCTTGGGAATAACATCCCCTGGATAGCTACAACCCCTTTAGCCTGAGATTCAGGAGACCACAGGACAGCAGATCCGCTTCTCCCAAAGTGTCACGTGGTTGAGTGACTGGAGTAAGTGACCCCCAATCCTACAGAACTTCTAATACCCCCACATTCCAATATTTGGAGACTTGTAGCTCAGAACCTAAATCCAGGGGCTGGAGAGATGGTTCAGTGGTTAAGAGCACTGCTGCTTTTCCAGAGAACCTGGGTTCAAGTCCCAGCACCCACATGGCAGCTCACAACTGTCTGTAACTCCAGTTCCAGGGGATCTGACACCTTTACATAGACATGAACGCAGGCAAAACACCAATGCACATGAAATAAAAAACAAATAATCTAGATCCAGAGACTGAGGGTGTGACTTAATGGTAGAGTGCATGTTTAATATATGCAAGGAAGGTACAGAATTCCGGCTTTGTGGCCTCCCCAGCAGCGCACCGGCCCCAGTCTCCCTCCTGTTATGCTGGTCACTGAACTAGGTGATAAGACATCTTATCTTCTACTGCTAACTCACAACATTTCCTATTCTCACTACAACAAGAATCTTGGTTTGGATATTTTGAAAGGGTTTTTGGGGGGTGTGAGATGGGGTTTTACATAGCCCCAGCTGGCCTCAAACTTGCTATGTAGTTGGGGATGACCTTGAACTCAAGACTCTCTTGCATCTGCCTCCCAAAAGTTAGAATCACAAAGGTGTGAGCCAGGCTGTGAATAACCTTTGGACTAAACAGAACCAGCCTTTTAGGTAATAGGATTTGAAAGCCCACCCCACCCCTAGCAAACCTACAGAAGAGGAATCTCAGACCAGAACTTAGTATCTTAGCAAACATTTAAAAGTGCAGTCAAGGATTATATGTCTGGAGAGCTCGTATTCACTCCCTTGGTGAATATACATGGTTGCCCCCACCCAAACTGTGGTGTTTCAGACATTCTGCCAGCAGAACTAGAGGGCTGGATCACACGCAATAGGATGCCTATCATGTCCATTCAGAGGGATGCTGACCTTCTACTCACAGACTGGACGTGTGGATAGTGCGAGCACACACATTTCCACGCAGGGCTAGGGTGTGGACCAGTGGTAGAGCACCTGCCTAGCATGTGTGAGGCTCCAGGCTCCGGGGCCACACAAACATTTCCTATCTAATGACAACAGACTACACTGTTAGGTGATAACCAGATTGTAAGCCTGTAATTGTATTGAGTAATGGGGAGTCAACAGCTGTGTTCTTTAAAAATATGCATAAATCACATTTCTATAAATTGAATCTCACTCTAAATGCACCAAAGGACTATTTAAAGAAATGCAATCTTGAAACTTCTCATAAGAAAATAATCCTAGGGCTGGGGATATAACTCAGTTGGTAGAGTACTTGTAAATTAGGTAAGGAGGCTAGAGTTCTCTCCTTAGTACTGCCTAGACTGGGTGTGGTGGCACAAACCTGCCATCCCAGCACCCTGGCTTCCACGATAGGGCAGCCTAGCTTCTCTACAGTAGCGCATCCATGACAACAGTAATGTCAAATGCTTGGTATCAGTCTTTATTTCAAAAGTGCTTTACCAACACATACTAATCTTCACAACATCCAAGGGAGGTAGATAAGTATTACATCACTTTCACAGATGGAGAAACTGAGGCAGAGATTAGTAAACTGTGTTGAAGAGCATAATATATGGCACACTTGGGAAAGCATCTGTTGCTGTCACAGGTTCCTGGTCACCTTTCCCAAGACTTTGGAGTCCCACGAACACAAAGGTAGCAACTGCATCATGGAAGCACGTCACGGAAGCATGGACTGAGGCTACCTCGGGTGCTGAACGAGCCGTCCTCTGAGCATATCCAGCACCAGCATCCTCAGCCTTTCCACCTCCAGCATGAGAGAGTGGAAGCTGTGGTGAGGGCAGAAGGGGGCTGGAGAAACGGGGCTTGGGGGGGAGGGGAGACGGGAGAAAATACAGATAAGGAAGCAAGGATGGGGAGGAGCAGGAAGACCACCTGGGAAACAGCCCAGCAGGAAGGAAGGCACTGCAGAAATGAAGCGCCCTCCATCCAAAAAGCTCAGGCATCCAGAAAGGCTTCTGAAAGGGTCATTCTTAGCAATGGCATTACGGAGCGAGCTGCTCCTCACAGCTTTGCCAAATATAATTACCAGGTCCTTGCGACATTCCCAGGAGGCACAATCATGCCTTTCCTCTGGTCTAGACCAAGTGCTGATGTCATTGACCTGACACTGCAGACTGTTGACACCTCGAATGTACTCTCCTACCAGGCCATCTCTGCCTCCTAGTCTCCTCTGAAGTGGATCAAAAGGAAAATGCATTTAAAGATTATCCCAGCAAAACCCTTGGACCATTCCTAAACTGTGCACCCACTGGGTAGCATCCCGTTTTTGATTTTTTTTTAAAGGGCTGTGATATGCAGACATGGAGGTCACCAACCTTTTTTAGCCAGGACTTCTCTACTCAACATGAGACATAAAACAAAACAAACAAACAAGCAAAAACCACCTCGAATTGGTGGGTACCAACTATCTAAAGAAAAACTGGAGGCCACCACAAAACAACAACAAAACCCTCCTCTGCTCATCTTAGAGCAGCCCAATGTAAGAGATATCCAGTGTGCCTCTGGTGGCAATGGGGATGTTGGTGACAGGGTCAGTGCCAAATGGGTCACGTGACTAAGGCCCCAGGAGGGCTAGTTCAAGCGAACAGGTGGACGGAACAAGGGTAGGTGAAGAGGAGAAAGTCACTGCAGAGACATGACAGCCAAAGACCCGAGAACAAGCACCAGTGTTTGTCCTAGGCTCCTCCAGGACAGGTCATGTGTCCTAGAGGGCATCTGCATCATTCCTTCGGTTCAGTCATCAGCATTATTCTCTCACGAGTCTAGCTCTGAACACCTTCCACTCCTGTCCAACAAAAACCAACACCAAGTCTGAGTCTACCCTTCACACTGGTCTCTTCACCACCTCCTCCTGGTCCTGACCCCTCACCTAACCAAAGCCAAACCCTCCTACTTGTAATCCCCAACTCCAGCCTCCTCTCCTCTCAGTTCCATCTTCTGGTTTTCCTCCTGCTGCACAGTTCTGATCCAATTTGAAAATCCCCCTCTACCTCACTTTTCTCTCTCCCATCTACGTGTTATCTAGCGATGTGCTCTGCTTTCCAAATCCCCACCTGCCAAAATGTCAGCTCTAAAGACTCAATTCAAATACCACCCCTCTATGATTCCCTTCCTCGTTTTTCTTAGTTTTCTATCAGCTAAAAAAGCATTTGATGATGTGTTAAATCCACAGTCTGCTGTGTAGAAACCCTCCCCCGTCCTGGGTAACGTCTATGATGTTGAACCATGTCTTAATATTTTTAATTATGTATCTTAATATGTACCTACCCCACAATTCCTTTCAAGAAATGGTTATTGCATTTCTACCTCAGGTAATAAAAGGCTTGAAAGTAAAATGAATGGGGATGTGCTGTGTTTGTTCATGAATGAAGGTGCTTCAGCAAGCACTCTGTAACATTATCCAGGTCTCAGCATAATACAAACTCTTGCTATGGCCGCAAGAAAAAGGGGGAAAGGCAGCAGGTGGGGCTGTGTGTTCCAGAACCAGGAGACCCTGCCTGCAGGTCTCCTTTGCTATTTACCAGCGACAGGCCACGTACCAGATGGGTTCTTCTCTGAACATCAATTCCTTACTTCTTCATGGCTGTGTGGACTTAAGAACCAACAGAAACACACTCATGAACTCTGCACAAAGTGGTTCTCAATCTCAATTAGTCATAATCACCTACAAAGGTTCAAAAACTACTGAATATCGGGCCCCACCACAAGTCAACTGACTCAGAACCCTCTGGAAGTGAGACCCAGCAGGACTAATTATTTATAAAATATTATTTCTAACACATAGTCAAATATTGCAAACCACTGTTGTAAACTCATAAATACCATTAGCGGTACAGCAAGCGGTTTTCGGCTCTGGCTTAATTATCCTGTATTTGTTCAGTCAGGAATTAGTTCAGTACTTTTATAGTCCAATTAAAATGCACTACGGTGTGGGGAATTTTTTGTTATTCTATGTTGCTGTTTGTGAGTTTAAGTCATAATTTCTTAGAAAAGCATAACCAGCACATCACGGTATACAAAAGATGCAAAACTTCCTAAGGTCCCTTTAAGTCCTGTCATTCTGAGGTGTGTTGAACAGACTATCAGATCAGGCAAAACCTGGGATTGCAAGAAAAGCAGAAAGAATCTCACGCCTTTCTCTGGGATGTGCATATTAATAAGATGTTTGGATAGATCAGTAGGTGAAGCAAAGGCAACCCTCTTCATCTTACATTTGTGTTTAGACCTTTCCATCCCTGTCCTGATCCTGAAGGGGGCACAGGGAGTCAATTTTTATCTTCCACATACCATCTGAACTGGAAACTTTAAAACCCTTCATTCTCTGAAGGATCCATTTAATAAAAACTAAGAACAGAAATCCTCATGAAAGGATCCTACGTCTAGTCTCTCGTTGCAGGATATATCTAAAATAATGGACTAATTCCTCTAAAATATTTAAAATAGATTCAATGTACAAAATTGATACCTGCTTACGTTATATGCAGTGCACAAACTGTGAGCCTGTGAGAACCTTACAAAACCTTACAGGCCCCAGGACCCAAATCCCAAAGCTTGGCCACTTTGGTCTACACTGGAGACAACCCTGTGTAGACCCATGCCCTCCCGGCTGCCATGACTTCAGCAGTATGCACAGAGGCTGGTACAAGCCACACCATGGTCAAGGAGCTGAAACAGGCTCCAAACGTTATATAGCTCAACTCCCTCGTTCTGTGGACGGGAAGCACCAGGTCAAGGTTTTAAGGAGTTAGCCAGTCACACAGCACCTTTAGGCAGAGCCACACTTAGCACACCAGCCCTGACCACTTCCCCCCTCCCCCGCCCCGTACAGAACCTCATTCTCAGAAACTGCTCATCTGCCTGGGCACTTAACTGTCACTCTGCCGCTTCCAGCTACTACTGCCCCCAACTCTAAATGATCTAAAGACCATTAAAAAAACAACAACATTAGGCTACAGCAGAAGTCTCAGAGCTCAATCAAAACACCCATTTATCCATCCATAGCTCCACATATGTTAGTAACAGATCCTTAGAAAGCCTAATCCTGACTGGCGGTGCAACACCAGCAATACAGCATTACCATCGGCTAGTACCTTGATGAGCACAGCGAGAGCAAGGCCTTTCCTAAGGAGGCTAGAGACTAAATAAAGTCAGGGCAACCATTCACTCAGTAGTAAAAAGTTGGGAGGGATCTGGGCTGGGAGGGCAGCACCTTCAAAAACATACACAGTGTAACTAAAACATTTTAAGACGTTTTTTAATAAAACAAAAACAGGATGTAGGAACCTAAATGAACATTAAACCCTCAAAGTTGTTATATCCCTACTTCTACTAAAACCACCATTGTGGGAGATACTACTTAGAAAGCCTCTTTGGGGAAAGCCTTGAAAGGCAGTTTGTGAGCCCTGTTAGGAAATACCCTTCCAAAGGCTGGGCTTTCCAAACATCCATCCATACTCAGAGCATGACACCAAAAAGATGGAGACACAGCCACGCAGGGCAGCCGCTACAGTGGGAGGGCTTTACATCCGGGTGCAAAAGCTCCACTGTCAGCTGAAAAAAAAAAACAAAAACAAGCCGGGCGGTGGTGGCGCACGCCTTTAGTCCCAGCACTCGGGAGGCAGAGCCAGGCGGATCTCTGTGAGTTCGAGGCCAGCCTGGACTACCAAGTGAATTCCAGGAAAGGCGCAAAACTACACAGAGAAACCCTGTCTCGAAAAACCAAAAAAAAACAAAAAACAAAAAACAAAAAAACACCAAAAAATAAAGTAGAAATCACCAGCCACACTCCTTTATCATCACACTCGCATTTTGTTAAAATAAAATAAAATAAAAAACACAACACTCACACATGGTTCTTCTATGAATTCTAATTAAGGAACATTACATTCAGAATGATAGCACGTAGTGGTGGTCTTCAGAGACTGGAACAGCTTCGTGGCCATGTTAGGGGGACACGGGTTCAGCTGTTTACCTGAATGTACTCTTAAATAAGTGACTGCTACCACTCTAATTCACCTAGCCGTGGGTCTGTCACCGGCTACTGACCGCAGAGGTCACATCCCAAACTTGCCAACACAGATTCACTACGTAAGGGCGCCATCCCCAAGTCTTAGGGTGAATTGGGGAAGGGCCGGTTAAATGAGGAAACAGGCCACTCCTTGGTAAAAGTTTGTAGTTTTCTTTCCCAGTACATCTTCTTCTTATTGAGGACTTCCATTTTGATCCTGTGTTCTTCCTCGGCCATCTCACACTCCCGCTCTATCTGCTGGATTTTGGCCACGTGCACCTCATTCATTTGGATCAGCTGCAGCTGTAAGATGGACATTTGCTGATGGTGCTCTTCCTCGTGCATCTTTTTTAAAGCACCTTCCTGAGGGGGTTTGCTCCTGTAGTTTTTATTGGCTGTTATTCTGACGGCTGAACATGAAGGTTCGGGTTGTGAGGTCCCCTCACATACTGGGAAATGGACGAACTCTTTCTCATCGTCGCACAGTTCTCTATTGGAAACAGCAAAGGATTCTGGAAACAATAACAGCAAAAACAGTAGCAGAAAACACGTTAAAAGATTTTTACAGGCAGAAGAAAAATGTCAGCCCAATTCCAAACAACAGCGCCTCACTGCAGGATGACTATAAACCAGTGTCTGCATTTGGTCCTTATGTCCAGGTCCTCTGACCTCACTTGACTTTGATAAAGTGTTTCACTTTGTCACTGGGACATCTCTGGGACATGGACAGAGATCCTGAGATAGTAATGCAAATTCCAAACTGAAATGTGCCCAACTCTGAGAAGCATGAGGTCATAGGATGGGGGTGACAATGTGAGTCATCATGTTAAGTTCCCTGTCTGTCTGATCACCTTGGACAGTTTCTCCATCAGCCATGGGCCTTTTGTCCTATCTCAAGAGTACCATGGGGCTTCCTGCCACTGGAGTCAGCCCTTCCATTGCTCCTCCTTGGGGAGGAGTCTACACTCTGGTCTAGCTCCCCCATGTCTCTTTAATCGCTTCCATCTGGCTGTGTGCCAGCCGTGTTCGGCTCCCTTCCCCTCTCCCCAGCACTTGACAAACCCTGAACTCTCTCTCCTTCCCTCAGTTAGCTCCTGCCATTGCCCTCTCCTAAGTGTTTTCATAGCCACCTTCCTCTGAGTGCCCCTCCCGAGTCTCCTTGGAGTACTGGGGTTCCTGTTCCACTCACCTGTTTCCTTTTCATTATTCCCTTGAGGTCCCCATCTCTGGCTCTATTCTCAATCTAACTTTATAATCGGCTCCCAGCCTTGCCTCTTCCTTGTTTTACTGTTTTGCTCTTCAAACTATCCTGTGCGCACTGGGGTCCTACCCCAAACACTCATGCTGCTCTTCACAACCCTGCGTCTCACTATTCCCACAGCTTGGAGATAGGCTCAATACTTATCCCACCCACCCTTTTCAAGCTCCTCTGTGATCCCTGCTGGTTCAGGGCCAACACTGCTGTTCCGAAACCTCAGCCCTCTCCTTCCTAAGTGCTCTCCTTCACAACACGCAGCACACAGTGTTCTATTTGGGCACAGGCCTTGCTCATTTCATTTATCCTTGGATACTAATTACTTTCCTTGGTACCTAGTGGATGGCTAGTAATACTCACTGGCCTGAAGACACAAAGAAAAGAGCACGTGGATATAAAAAGGTTCCTTTTGGTAGGTGCCGTGTGTACATTGGTATTTTTATCGGGCAATATAAGTATTTGAGAATGTCAATAAGAAAAGCACTAACTCCAAGCTTGTGGAGTCTTTTTGTTTGTTTGCTTGTTTGTGACAGGGCCTCTATCCCTGGCTGTCCTCCAACTTAACTGTGCAGCTGAGGATAACCTTTAACTTTTCATCCTTCTGCCTCCACTCTCCACCCCATTGCCTACCCTGGGATTGCAGGTATGTGAACCACCACATGTGGTTTTATATGCAGCTAGGAACTGAACCAGGGCTTTCTCACAGTAGGCAAGCACTCTCTATACCTCCAGCACGCCCAGAGACTTCTAGCTGTGACTCCAAGGCTTTCTTGAGAAAGCTCTACATTCTCAATAAAGAGAATCTTCTCCTTGGAGAAAAGAAATTCTAATTTATTAACAAAATTGATTACATTATATGTCTATTACATTATTCGGGAAGATGGGATGCTGGGAATGTTAATAGCTGCTGGGGAAAATCTAATTCATGATGCTCTGCTAATGAAAGGAGAATGGCTACTGTCTGGATGATTCCACTCCGAGGGGTAAGGAAACAACTCTAAGTAGTCTCTAATTAGGGCTAACGGAAAATACAGAAATCTGAAATTCTGAAACTTTGGCAGAGAAGGAAAAAAAATTTAGTATCATCTAGACAATGGAAATGTCTCTCTCCTACTCCTACGAAGTACGACGGCTCTCACCGGGACTCGGTGTCCTTCCTGCAAACTCTGTCTTCCTGGCACTAGTTTAAGCCAGCTATTACACATGTCTGTCTCCTAGCACCTAGAAGACTGAGGTGGGTGGGAGGTTCACTGGTGTGATGTCAGCTTAGGCTACATAGCAGACTTCTGTCTCAAAAATAATATGTGGGGCTGGAGAGATGGCTCAGCTGCTGAGAACACTTGCAGCTCTTGTGGAGCACCCAGGTTTGATTCCCAGCACCCTGATTTCAGGGGAATTTGATGCCCTCTTCTGGCCTCTGTGGGCACTGTGTGCATGTAGTACAAAGACATGTGCAGCCAAAATACTTATATACACATAAATAAAAATCAATATTTAAAAATAAATATCTAACCACCCCCCCCCAAAAAAAAAAGAAAGAAAAAGAAAGGAGGAAAAGCCTCTGGTTGGTTCCTTCCCTCAAGTCTCCAACTCTTTTGCGATAGAAAGTGCCTCTCACTTCTCTCATGTAGAGCCCAGCACAGAGCCTGGGATAGCAGTAAGCACTGAATAAATGCACATGGGTCACATCTCTCCCTCCCTGACACAGCTGAGGGACTGACTGGAGATGGGAATGGGAAGGGGGACCACTGAGGACAGAGGCCCTCGGATGTGAGGATCCACCCCCCAGTACCTCACAGTTCCTTTCTGATCTTAGATCTGAAAATGGTTTTGTTTTGGAAACAGACACTTTTGTTGACATCTCTACCCTCACAGCTCCCTCACAGCTCAATCACATGCCTAGGAGTCTTTAAAGTTCATCCATTCACAAGGTAAAACTTTCTCCCAATTCTCAACTACTCCCCTTTGTCTCAACAATTCTAGGCTTCAAGGACATGGGGGTGACAGTGACATCAGCTGCTGTTCAAGTGTATCACAAAAGGTACCAGATTCAATGTCTACAACCCTTTGAGGACAGTATGACTCCAAAAAAACCAATCTAGTATCCAAGGCCATTTGGCTACATGAAAATCCAGGATTCTGATCCAGGCCTGCATAACAAAAAAAATCATAGCATCTTAATGTCTGTAAGGAAAGAAATGATTCCCTTTAAACTATCTTTTTTAAGATGTGTGCTGACATACACATTCCAAAGAAAAACAGCCAGACCTCTTAAGAAGTCTGGCAGAAGGCAAGACTTAAAGCCAGACAGACTGGTAAAGTAACTTCCAAACAAATATTAGCACCAATACATAGCACTGGTGGCTAGTACTCAGATAGGCCGGGCGACCCCTTAATTGGAAAAAGACTAGCCTGGGAATAGCAGCCTGCTGCAAATGCATACCCTGCCATCTCTCTCGCAGGTGAAACAATGCCACCCGAAACAGAAGACAACCCGACTCTATGCAAAAAGAGTAGGAAGGCTTTTCTGGGACTGAGAACACAGCCAAGAGGGTGTTCTATCACTTGGGTAATTTGAGTAAATTTAGCATCCGCAGGAGAAGCCTACTACAGCAACAAAAAGATGAGAAGAAAACTGTGCGGGACCATCTCCCGTTATTCTCATCAGACGCAGGAAAGAGATAACTGAGAAAATGAGAAGGATTCGGTGGGTGCGTACTAAAGGAGCTTACATCTTAACGAAAGTGAAAAGGCTGGGTTTACACACGGCAGTGGAACTGGATCTTAAACATGCTATCCCAGGCGCGGAGAGCAAAGGAGGAGCTAGCTGTAGCACAGGTTCTGACCTATGTGCGTTAAGGGGTACATGTGAGGGAATACGAAAGCATGGCAGACCCATGAGGATGTGACACAAGAGAAAGAGAGTGGGAACGAGAACCAAAAGGGACACACGCGACTGACACACAAGAGGAGCTTTGCACAGACCAAGGATGCAAGTGTGCCCTGACTGGAAATACATCGCAGTCCTCTGTGCCTGAGTTCACACCCTAAAAGAACAGGACTGGGCTCGGCAGTGCTAAGGGGACTTAGAACGAAATGTTCGCACTTCATGATAGCGATACAATGCACACAACATTAAATACAACTTCTCCTAAAACATGAGGCTGCTACTGAAGACGCCTGGTCCTCATGAGTGTGTTTGAGGCACTGGAGAGATGGCTCCATGGGTAACCCTGATGGCCTGAGGTGGATGCCCAGGATCCAAGTGGTAAAGGTTAGAGCCCACCCACCCCCCCATTGTCCCCTGACACACGCCGTGACATGCACACACATGTCGTGGCATACACACACACAATTAAATAAACAATCTTAATGTATTTAAACTGTCATCCTACCTACCAGACCCCCCTCTCCACACCTGTTCCTCAAAAAGGATAATTAAATTAGCACAGATCACAAAGTCTGCACACTGGAAACTGTTCTAACTGCGCTTACCTGACAAACACTGGTTTTTCTTACAAATACGTCCTTAAGTATATTCCTTCAGTGGTAAGACCACTGTGTTCAAACACTGTTGAACATGTTAAAGCCTTTGACAAAGCCATGAATATCCAGAGGTTAGTGACACAGTGATGCCATCTCCCATAACAAATGTAGCTAGAGGGAGGCCTCTAGTGGAATCTGTTAAACTCCATCCTGCTGAACACTGAATAATAAATTCTAGCACATCTCTAGGAACCCAGCCCTGATCAGCAGAGTAGACTATAAACTGCATGAGTAATTCTGAATGCTTACACCCACATTACAAAAGCTACACTGATTTTGAGATATATTTTAATCCAGTATATTTAAAAACTTAAACATGTAATTAACATAAAATTATTGATGAGATTTTTTTTGTGGTATTAAAGCTTCAAAATGTGTGTGTGTGATTACAGAACACGTCAGCTTTGTCTGCTCATATCTCCACTGCTTCTGAGCCCCCGCCACTGTGTATCAGACACCACAGTGCTGCAAATACAAAAGCAACACACACACACAGTCATGTGTCAAAAACACACAAGATGTTCAAACTTTCTACCTTTCGCCCCACCGATTTCCAGAAACGATCATCGGGAATCCTAGCCTTCCGCCGTATCTGTGGTTTGTTTAATTTTATTACTACTTGCATGTGGGAGAGAGACAGAGACAGCAAGGGAGGGAGGTGGGGGGATGAGCACGTGCACCTCTCTTCTAGGCCAGAGGAAGACACCAGATGCCCTGCTCCATCACTCTGCCTTATTTTCTCGAGACAGGGTGTCTCCCTGAACCTGGAGCTGGGTTGGTGACTCCAGAAATCCTCCTGTCCCCACGCCCACAGAACCGGGGTGACAGCGGGCCTTTTATGTGGGTGCTGGACTCTGAACAGCAAGCACCTTATCCGCTGACCACCTCTGCAGCCCCTTCTCCCCGCCTTCTTGACAGTCAGCTGAACCATAAAATAGTAACTTGCATTGCAAAGAGTTCTAGTGCCTCAACTAGGAGTGTTAACATCATCTGGGCATTCTTCTAAACTGACTGCGCACCAAGGCTCACTTCTCTCAGGTCTGTCACGGAAACAGGAGCTTTGGCTGTGTTTTAATAAACACCAGTGAAAAGGGAAGCCTCCAGTGTTAGCTGTGTACAAATGTCCAGGTTAAAATAATGTGCAGAGAGGGCTCAGTCATAAGACACTCGCTGCTCTTGCAAAGCACTGGAGTTTGGTCCCCAGGACCCACATCGGGCGGCTCACAACTGCCTGTAACTCCAATGCCAAGGGATCTGACACCCTCTCTGGCCTCCATGGGTACCCTGCATGCATGCGGTGCATATATATGCATAGACACACTAAGTCACATCTACATATGTGTAAAATCAAATAAACCTTAATACATTTCTTACAAATGAGTCTCTAGCAAATGCCACTACAGAAAGAGCATCAAGAATCCCTATTTTGGCCAGGTGTAGTGTGCACCCTTTCAGTTCCAGTATCTGGGAGGCAGATAGACCTCTATTAGCTCAACGCCAGCCTGCTCTATAGAGAGAGTTCCAGACCAGCCAAGGTTACAGGAGACTAAATCTGAAAGAAAGAGGGGGAGAGAGGGAGGGGCAGAGGGGGTAAAAAAACATTTTATTTCCTTCTTGCTTGGAATTTCTATTTGAATAAATGAATTGCAGTTTTTGAAAGAAAAGACAAAAAGTCAGGAGATGAAATCTCTAGATACAACCTCAGATTTAAAAGTGTGTGTGTGTGGCGGGGGATGTGCTTTGTTCCCCAAACAAAACCCTATAGGGGCTGGTGAGGTGGCTCACGGAGAAAGCTATCTGTCACCCTGTCACCGAGCCTGACACCTGAGTGCAATCCCCAGGATTCACACCATAGGAGAAGTAAAAAAATAAAAAGACTAGCTGCAAAACTGACACATAACAATTTGTGTCTCGATCACACGTTTGCTAAATAAATGGCATTCACATGAGTATCTTCCCCAGCCCAGCCCAGGACCCCAGGACGGTCCGCCACATGAAAAGCAGGCCTGCTAACTCATTCCCTCCACTCCCGGAACCACTCTGAGTGCACTGAGGGGATGCTTTGCGGCCAACGAGAGAGAAGAGTGACGGAAGGTCAGCAAAGGAAGTGTGTGCCCACAGGAGCAGCACGGAGGAACAAGAGAGCTGGCAGTGCCCACGCACACGGTATCTGCCAAGAGTTGGCTGGTCGTGGAAACCCGAGAATCAAGACCTAGACATGAGTCTCCTACATCAGGAAAGGATACACAAGGTCCATGACAACTGACCACGGTGGTCACCCAGCCTACTAGCCTGGACTTAACCTTCATCAACTGATTAGCAAGCAAAGTTTGTGCCATAATTTAGCTTCCTAGGATGATCTGCCCACAGGGGGAAAAAGTGTTAATCAAAAGCATGTATTTGGCTCACATGGTAATTACCTTTCTCACTCTACACAGCATTCTTGGTTTCAAAGAGTTTCTTGTGACTTTTAATTAACAGGAGCCAGGCCCTTGGAGCTCTGTCTTCTCTGGGGACACTGAATTCAATGTTCTGCAAGTTAAGAACCAGATTTCCCAGGCAAGTGATTGCCGGGTCCTTGGAGCACCTCTGTGCAGCCCTGTAGCAACCCCACCAGCCTCCCTCTGCTTCAGGGTGTGCCTTCTGCAGACTGCAATGAACTTTTATATAAAGGGACCACTCCTGTCTTAAAAGATGTGGGAATTGTGGGAAATTTATCCTTATACATGTCCACTCTCTGCCTGCCTGGAGACATGAGGCACTCCTTGACGCTCACCTTTTGAAGCTACAAGTAACCATACATCTTTCATTAGAGACAGTCTCTTCCTTCCCTAAGAATTATGTGTGGCATGTTTTGCTCTTTCAACAGGAGTATGCTAAAATTTAACTTTTGTCCCTAGAATGTCTCTAAACCCCTAGAATGCCACAAAAACTCTGGCTCACAATTATTACAGTGAGTAAAACCATTGGTATGAATCTGAGTGGATGCTAAAAGGGTGTTTTGCTTTATTTGGTCTCTGTACTCTTGATACATTACTTTTTTAAGATTTATATTTCTAGCCGGGCATGGTGGCACATGCATGTCTTTAATCCCAGCACTCAGGAGGCAGAGGCAGGTGGATCTCTGTGAATTCGAGGCCAGCCTGGTCTACAGAGAGAGTTCCAGGACAGCCAAGGCTACACAAAGAGAAACCCTGTCTCAAAAGAAAAAAAAAGTTCTATTTCTTTCTCTGTGTGTGTGTGCCTCTGTGGCTATGCATGAGCATGAGGGGCCTGCACAAACCAGAATGGGGCACTGATCCCCAGAGGCTGGAGGTACAGGCAGTTGTGAGCTGCCCAATGCGGGTGCTGGGAACTGAACTCTGGTCCTCTGCAGGAGTAGCAAGTGCTCTGAACCACTGAGTCATCTCTCCAGCCACTAACCTCCGTACTTCTGTTTTTAAATCAGAAATAGTTTCCTCATTCAGCATGGCCTTGTGAGTGACTTAAAGTAGTACCTAACTACTCAAAAATAACCCTTTAAAAGACTGAGTGAACGAGATCGCCATCAAATTTCCTTTAATAAAATGGAAATAGTTTGAGCTAAGGAACCCGAGTACCTCATTAGGGAGCTTGATGCACACATGCTCTTTCTGGTTAAGCAATCATCATCTCTAAGAAAGACTACATAAAAAAAAACGGAACTTCTGTATGCCCTGTGTAACAACTCAGTGTGAGAGCGACATTTCTTACAAGTTTCCTAAAAATGAAGCCTTTCACAATTCCAATGATAAGCTGTTCCAGCCAGCACGGCCCCGCTGCATGGGGGAGGGGTACCTTGGGCAGCTGCATCCGGGTGGTATTCGGGCTCCTCCTCGGGTGGGCTCTGCAGGAAGTACAGCTGCTCAGGCAGCATGTTGCCGATCTTCTCCTTGCCCAGGACGTGGTTACTCAGCAGTGGGCTCCCGCTGCGCTTCACTTTCTCCCTTCTCTCATGGGCCATAATTTTTTTGGTCCGAGCCTTGATGTTCTCCCAGCACTTCTTCAGCTGTTTGAAATCCCGCAGCGACACGCTGGGCTGAGAGTTGTACTCGTGGGCCAGTGCCTGCCAGGTGCGCTGCTTGAGGGCAATAGTTCGCGCATCGCTTTTCTTACACTCCAACACATACTTGTACTTTTCTACCAAAGCAAGCAAGATGCTCTTCTCCAGCTCTGAGAAGTATTTGGCCGGCTTAATAATTTCGTTGTTTTGCATTTTCCACTCTTATTTCTCCTGGTCGTTAGCTAGCCTGCAAAGGGAAGTTTGAAGCAAGAATTACCAATTCCAGCAATAGAAATGTCACAAATCACTGAGGCTGAATCCCTAACCTGGTTCCCTTCTTTAAAAGGGGGCAAGTAACTTCTTTTTCATTACTGCTGAGCCAGGAACACAGCCAGAACTTCACTGAGAATGGGACTTCACAATCCCCAAGTTGATTTCCCAGGAGTCTTTGTGACACCTACATATCACTCTAATTTCCTAATTTATCTCTGCTTAATATAAGGAGCTGGTTCGTCTCCCAATGTTAGGCAGCACTGGAAATAAACAGCTTACTCTTTTTTTTTCCTTCAAAGATGAAGGTAGTCTAATCAAACAGATCAAGTTATATAAAAGCACTACCAAGATTTCAGGTTCATAAAGAAAATGCTCCTGGATGTCTGATATTTTTGTTTTAATTGTTTTTTAGATTTATTTATGTACATGTTTTGCCTGTACATATATATGTCTATGTACCATTCACATGCCTGGTACCCAGGGAGGTCACAAGAGGGCGCTGGATCTCCTGGAACTAGAATTACAGACAACTGTGAGCTGGGAAGAGAACCCAGGTCCTTTGCAAGAACAAGTGCTCTTAACCATTGAGCCATCTCTCCATCCCTGGTATCTGTTGCTTGTGGTTTTGTATCCTTGACCCAGGTGATGCACCTGGGGCAAACTCAGGTCCTTCTTCAAAACGAGAGCATGGCAGCTGATACCTGCAACCTCACTGCCACTGCAGAGGCTGAGACGGGACTGCGGCGAGCTGGAGCCCATGGAAGTTCTAGGCCAGCCTAGGCTACAGTGTGAGGTCATGTCTCAAAAAGGAAAGACATAAATAAAAAAAAAAAATAAGAGGTGAGGTCTATGACCCATCAGGTCTGAAGGCCATTTATTTATTATTCATTCATTCATTCATTCATTCACTCACTCATTCATTTTGTTTTTTTTTTTTTTTTTTTTTTTTTTTTTTTTTTTTTTTTTTTTTTTTTTTTTTTTTGGTTTTTCCGGACAGGGTTTCTCTGTGTAATTTTGGAGCCTTTCCTGGGACCCACTTGGTAGACCAGGCTGGCCTCGAACTCACAGAGATCCGCCTGGCTCTGCCTCCCGAGTGCTGGGATTAAAGGCGTGCGCCACCACCGCCCGGCTCATTTTGGTTTTTCCGGACAGGGTTTCTTTGTGTAGCCCTGGATGATCTGGAATTCCCTATGTAGACCAAGTTGGTCTTGAAGTCAGAGATCTGCCTGTCTCTGCCTCCCGTGCACCACCGCCGCCTGACAACTGAGAGCCATGTTTAAGACGGGACACTGTTACGCAAACAATTTCTGTAATTTCAGAATTGAATCTGCATCCTTAGAGACAGAGTGCAGTGCTCCTCGCCACAACTGAGGGAACCAAGGGCCAAAAAGCTGAAGTGAATTGCCCAGGGCACAGAGAGAGTGACACACAGGTGTCTTTTTGTCCCTGAAGACTAGTGCTCTTGGTGTCATTCTATGATGTTCCTTAGACTTTGGGCAGTTTCAAATGATTCGACCCCGCCCTCCTCTACGGTGCTGAGAGCCTCATAAATGCTGTACTGTGCTGATGTGTACAAAACATCTTTCTTCCCACATCTTCTGCTCACAGGAAGTTTCCTAAGAGATGACTCCCTCACGTCAGCGGTGGCAAACATGGCCAAGCCACAGCAGCTGCAGGAACAAAGTGAGCGCTGGTATATCCCCTGCTGGAAAGGACCAACACAGCCCTGGACCTGTTATGTTCTCTAAGCCTCTGATCTTTCAGAGTCAGTGGACAGCATCAAGATATTGATGGTGTGGTCCATTTAAAAGCGCCCACTTCTTATCAGAAGGACTGGCAATGAACTTGGAAGGAGTCCTGAGAGCTAGAGCGAGGTCATCCGAACACCAGAGTGGCAGATACACCACGTTCACTACATTGTTTTCTCAGTTATTTTGTGTGTTTGAGATTTTCCATAATAAAAACAGAGGGAAAAGGCTGTGGCTTTTTAAAAAATCTTCTTTTCTTTTCTTTCTTCTTTTTTGATAGAGGATCTCATGTAGCCTATGACTTTAAAAAAGATCACATTATGGGGGTTTGAGAGATGACTATTTCAGAGTGCCTGGTGCTCTTCCAGAGGCCCAGTTCAGTTCTCAGCACTCAGCAGGGTTCAGTTATAGAGCAGCTCACAATCAACTATAATTTGAGCTTTAGGTGATCCTCCTCTGGCCTCTCCAGGTACGCTCGCGCGCGCGCGCGCGCACACACACACACACACACCACACACCACACATACACACACTTTTTTTTTAAATCTTATAACCATCCTATAAAAATCAAACGTGAAACCAGTTACTCTCACCCACGATACCTGCTGAGAGGTAACCTGTTGTGTCAAAATGAGGCCGGAGCAGACCAGGCCAGCAGAAAGTCTGGAAGCTGGGCCTTTAAATGAGAGTAACAGAGTCTGATGAGGGCCTTCACAATGCTCTACACCTCATCCCAAGGCAGGCTTAGAATGAATACTAAGGGCTAGGCCCTCCCCACCAGACTTCTCTCTTCACTGTCACACTGGGCACACCTAGTACCACAGTTACAAAGACAACCAAACACGTGCCAGAGGCAGGTGTGCCTCAGACCTTAAGCAAAGCTAAATAAGGGGCCATTTTTCTTCAAGGACATGACCCTGGCCCTTTAAACTTTCAAACCTGTGCTTTGATTATATGACACTCATAGTCCCACAGTGGCACCCATTCAGGGCTCCCTTTTCCCCACAGGTCAAAATTAATTCTCCGCCTTCATCAATATGTTTCTTCACTATAATCCAATGTTTCCCAAACTACAATTTGTGAACACAGGTCCTGCACAGCTTCCCTCTTCCATATCATCTCTATCTCACAACCCACCCATGTCCAACCTTCTTTGGCTTTTATATGGAGTCAGTGGGTACAGTGGGTGTCCTTAAAAAACAGATAGCTCCCAGAGCCTACTCTGACTCCCCAACACCAACACCTCTGCCTCAGCAGACATGATATGTCTACTTTCCCCGTGTGTCCCCCATTCTTTTAAGATTGGCTTCTCTAAAGACTCAGATTTCTAATTCACAAATGAAAAGGTTTTCATTCTATTTTTTTCTGTGAGGTGTAAAGCTATTTTGTATGTAGCATATATTTGTATAAGCTTACTTTCTAAATAAATATCTCTTATGTTGACTATTGCTTAAAAAAAAAAAAAAAACTCCAAAAGAGGAATTGTTGCCTCAAAAGATGAAAGCATTCAAACTGTCTTTGTAAACTGTGTAGCTGACTTACGTCCTATCTACAGCACGATAGTCTATCTGTCCATCACTTCCTCTGCTCTTGTTGCTAACATTCTAATTCCACCCAACCGTGGAGGTGAAAGACGTCCTTT